CCCTCTCACTCGGAAGACCCCCCTCATACAGAAGACCCCCCTCACTCGGAAGACAACCCTCACTCAGAAGACCCCCCTCACTCAGAAGACCCCTCTCACACAGAAGCCCCCCTCTCACTCAGAAGCCCCCCTCTCACACAGAAGCCCCCCCCTCACCCGGAAGTCCCGCTCACTCAGAAGCCCCCCTCTCACTCAGAAGCCCCCCTCTCACTCAGAAGCCCCCCTCTCACTCAGAAGCCCCCTCTCACTCAGAATTCCCTCTCACTCAGAAGCCCCCCTCTCACACAGAAGCACCCCCCTCACCCGGAAGCCCCCTCTCACTCAGAAGCCCCCCTCACCCAGAAGTCCCTCTCAGTGTCCTCACAAGCACTTGCATGTCAGGCGCCTCTTCATCTCTTGAGGACGTCAGTCCTGTCAGACCAGGGCTCTGTCCCTAGAATCTCATTGAATGTTCACTTCTTTAAAGTCCTCATCTTCAAATACAGTCGTATTGGAGGTCAGGGCTGCAACACAGGAATTTGGGGGGCGGGGGCCACAATTCAGTCCATAACAGGGGCGTAGAAATCCTAACAGCACTGAGTCCTCAGAACCATGAACATGGTATCTTTCTACGGATTTACATTCTTCTCTCATCCAAGCTTTATAGTATTGACCGTACATATTTTGTGTAGGGCTGAGGGCCCCACAGGGTCATGGGGTGAGTCTTATGCTGTGCTGAGGCACAGGATCTGAGAAATAAAGAGACAGGACACAGAACTACAAATAAAATGCAGCTGGGCTCGGGGGTCCACGCCACCTATAAGCGGAGTCAGGCAAGGCCCCGAACGTCCAGAAGCGTATTTACTGTGTATAGGTCAGGGGGCAGGGCAGTGAGTGAAATCATCTTTAAGGATAGTGATAGGGTCGTGAGCAATAAAACACGGGGTCCACCCCCATTAGGTCACCTAGGCCAGGAGGTGGACAGTGCACAGCAAGGGGCCCGTTCCCACAAAGGCAAGGGCCGTGTGCAGTAAGGGGTCCACCCCCATTAGGTCACCGAGGCTTGAAGGTGGGCCGTGCGAAGTGAAGAGGGTGCAGTGTGCGATACTTCTGTCTATGGAAAACTACTTCTAAGAGGATTTATGGGAGGATGCTTTAAGTCACACAGCAGTGACAGAGCTGTCAAGGTTACCGCCACCTTCTGGCAGCTTCCAGTGGGTTCTATGGGAAGATGCTTTTTAAGCAGCACAGCAGCAAGAGCTGATAGAGTTCACAGTCACCAAGGTGGATTGCCGGTCTGAGGGCGGCCTTCCACAAGAACGGGAGCAAGGTCCTACAACTCCTTTATCAGGAGGAGTGGCTCTCACCCCAAGCCTGCCATCCAGCGGGTATCTTTACGATACTGAACGCTGCCGCCTGGGCCATGGATTCTTGTCCTGGTGTAACTGTTTTCCCTTAAATCATGCTCTGCACTGTGTCTGCTCTACGCATTCCTCTGTTTATAAGCTGTTTATTCCTTAATTCGTGCTCTGTACTGTGTCCACTCTAGGCATTCCTCCGATTATGAACTAAGATATAATTATAAGTATATATATAGGGAAATATTCTTTAGGCATTCATACTATCAACTATTATATCACTATATATAGAGGATTATATAAAGGGATTCTTCAAGCCCTATTTCTATAAACTAATATATGATTATGTAAAGGATTATATAAAAGGAAATAGCTGAGTAGTAACACTATAAAGTGAGCTATTCCTCAGGCCCTAACTGTGCCAGGGTTCTACTTAGCTCTCATTTCTTGGTGCCTATATGGAGGGTTACCCACATTTTGTACATACGTTGAACTTTTTTATGATTTTTAATGCTATCATAAAAATATTTTAAAATCGACCTTCCAGTTATTCATTGGTGATATGTGGACATATACTTGATTTTTGTATATTGATTTTGTACATACTGTGACCTTAACTAAACTTGTTCATTAGTTCTAGCAGCTCTTTGGTAAATTCTAAAGAATTTTCTGTGTATGTGATTATATCATCTACAAGTGAAGACAGTTTTGCCTGTTCCTTTCTCATCTTCATGCCTTTCATTTCTTTGTCTCACGGTGCTGGTGGGAGCATCTGGGGCAGTGTTAAGTGTAGGAGGGGTGAGAGTGGACATCCTTGTTTCCAATGTTTTGCAGAAAGCATATGTTGTTCACGATTCAGGATATTTGCTGTAAGTTTTCCTGAAGATTCCTTTATCAGGATCAGGAAGTTCCACTCTAGTTTCCTAGGAGTTATGATCATGAATGGACATTGAATTGTGTTCAATTTTATTCCCATAATAAAATTAGCAAATGATTTTTCTCCTTTCTTATGGAGAATTACACTGATTTTGAATTCCCATTTAGTCATGTTGTATTTTCTTATATATTGCTGGATTTGACTTGCTAGTACTTTGCTAGGGAGTTTTTGCCACTGTTCATTGGGGTTATTGGTCTGTGATTTTTCTTTTAGTGTTTTTGTCTAGTTTTAGTATCAGGGTTTTCAAATCTCATGAGATGAATTAGAATGTTTTCTCTCCTTGTGTATTTTCTGAAAGAATCTGTTAGAATTTCCTTAAAAGAGATGGTCCTACTCTGTCACCTGGTCTGGAGTACAGTGGCTATTCACTGGAGCGATCATAGCTCACACTTGCAGCCTCAAACTCCAGGCCTCAAGTGATCCTCCTGCCCCGGCCTCCCAAGGAGCTGGGACTCCAGGTGCGTGCCACCCTGCCCAACTAAATGTTTGACGTAATTTAACAGTGAAGCTATGTGGGTTTGGAGTTTTCTATGCAGGAAGATTTCTAATTATGAACTCAATTTCTTTACTAGTTCTAAGACTAATTAGGTCTTTTTTCCTTAAGTCTGTTTTGATAATTTTTGTCATTAAAGAACTTGTTAACTTAATCTAGGTATATAATTTCTTGACATAAAGTTGTCCATACCTTATTTTTTTTGAAGTTTATAGGCTCTGTAATGATGTCTTTTGCGTGTCTGTGTGTGTGTGCGAGAGAGGAGGGAGAGAGAGAGAGAGAGAGAGAGAGAGAGAGAGAGAGAGAGAGAGAGAGAGGAGAGAGAGAGAGACAGACAGACAGGGGTTGCCCAGGCTGGAGTGCAGTGGCGCAGCCTTGGCTCACTGCAGCCTCGACCTCCTGGGCCCAAGTAATCCTCTCACCTCAGCCTCCCAAGCAGCTGAGACTACAGGTGCATGCCACCATGCCTGGCTAATTTTTCATACATTTTGTGGAGATGGGGTTTCGCCATGTTGCCCAGGCTGGTCTTGGCTTCTTGGGCTCAAGTGATCCACCCACCCAGGTGGATCTGAGGCTAAGGTGGGAGGATCATTTTCAAGCCCAGGAGTTCAAGACCTGCCTGAGTAACCGTGAGACCTTGTCTCTACAAAGAATTTTTTTCAAAGACCCAGGCATGGTGGTGCACATATGTAGTCCCTGCTATTCAGGGGGCTGAGGTGGGAGGACGGCTTGAGCCAAGGAGTCTGAGGCTGCAGTGACTGGGCTATGATCACACCATTGCCCTCCAGCCAGGCTGACAGAGGGCTGACAGACTGAAACCCTGTCTCAAACATAAAAAAGAAAGAAATTATACTCTGCATGGTTTTAGTCCTTTTAAATTCATGGACACTTGCTCTGTGGCCCAGAACATGAGCTATCTTGGTGAAAGCGGCGTGTACACTTAAAAAGAATGTGGGCCCGGTGTGGTGTCTCATGCCTGTAATCCCAGCACTTTGGGAGAACGACGTGGGCGGATCACCTGAGATCAGGAGTTCGAGACCAGCCTGGCCAACATGGTGAAAACCCGTCTCTACTAAAAAAAATTACAAAAATTAGCCAGGCATCGTGGCAGGCACCTGTAATCCCAGCTACTCGGGAGGCCGAGGCAGGAGAATCACTTGAACCCGGGAGGTGGAGGTTGCAGTGAGCCGAGATTGCGCCTGGGTGACAAAGCAACACGCTGTCTCAAAAAGAAAAAGAAAAAAAAGGAGGCAGAGCCATCGCTGATAGAGAGGGCAGTGCGGGCAGCTCAGCTGTGCTGTTGAGCCTGAGGGCTGACAAGACACCCCGGGGGCAGTGTCATAGAGACTGGACCTGGCAATTCAGGCATCCCTGGAGACCCGGCTGGGCACGGGCTTACTGGAGGAGGAAGGCGGGGCACAGGGTGAAGACAGTTCTAAGAATGTGGCTGCAAAGGGGAGCAAAAAAAAAAAAAAAAAAAAAGCAACAGGTTGGTGAGAGAAGTTGGATAAAGAGGTGGTTTTTAGTGTGGGAGAAGCCGCACCCTTCATGCGAATGAAAATAAATAAAAAGAATCATGCTGTAGGAGACAGGGAAACTGCAGATGGGTGCCCTGGCGGAAGCTCGGGCCGGGGACTGGGTGCACAGGACAAGCGCGCTGGGCGAGGGTCTGGCTGCCCGGGCTGCAGCTTCCTCGGTGGAGCCAGGCCGGGCGGGGACGGGGCGAGGCGGGGCAGCGGCTCGGGGCCGGCTGCAAGCCAGGAGCTGGGAGCCGCCGACACGCAGGGACAGAGCGCGGCGCGGGGACTCCCTCTGCTCTTCCTGGTCCAACCGATGGCCGGACCGAGATGTGACTCATGCGCCCCGAAACCCACCCCGCAACGGCACGGCCGACAGGGCCGGGCGCGCCTCCGCTCCCACCCAGCGCACGCCCATCCCTCCCCGCCGCCGGCCCCGCCCCGCGTGGGGTCCACACCGCGGCCTCCGGAGCCACGGTCCCCCGGGCCCGGTCTCCAGGTCCGCCCGCCGCAGCGGGCCTCGCACTCCCCTCCGTTCCCGGCTGCAGGACGGACGGCGCCGCTGCCCTCTGGAGCCCCTGCTGTGTGTCTGGCGCCGAGCTGGGCCCCCGAGGCCCCCGAGCCCGCCCAGGGGGTCCCTTCCCCGGGCCGGAGCAGGAGGCACCGCGGGGTCCAGCGCGCCCTGCGCGGGGCGAGCTCGGGGACGAGCGCCCGCGGCCTCCCGCCTGGGCAGCCCTCACCCGCCGTCCGCAGCGGAAGGGACCGGGCCGCCAGCCTCCGGGCGGGCGTGGCCTTGAGGCCCAGACCGGAACTTCCCTTCGGCCTCAGTTTCCCGGCCGGCCCCGCCCCCGGCGCCCGCACACGCGGCCCCTTTAAGGACTTGCTGCGCCCTCCCGCCTCTTTTTTCTCGCGCGTCTCCCCTCCCAGGCTGCCCCGCCCTCGCCGGGAGCGCGCCTACGTCACCGCGCAAACCGCGGCCGTGTCTTCGCGCCTGCGCCTCCTGGGTCGGGGTGAGCCATTGGCTGCGGTGCTCAGGAACCATGGTAGGGGGCGGGGCCTTTGCCGGAAAGGGTGGGGCGACGGCGAGAACGGCCGCGTCCAGCGGTAGGTGCTGTCGTCGCCGTGGTGACCTCCGCTCCGGCCCAGGGCCAGCCAATGGCTATAGAGCTCTTGGGCACCTGACGGGATGGGCGGCCCCCGCCGGAAGGGGCGGGGCGAGGCGAGCGGTCGCGTCAGTCGTAGGTGCGGCAGTGACTACGCTGCCGGGCGGGGGTCGCGCCGGCTCAGCACCTGGGGCTCTGCGGGGGCCGGGCAGAGACCTGCGGTCCCGGCGTGTCCGTATTTCCGGTGTCCCCGAGAGCATCGGCGACGGGGCCGCAGGGCGGGCCCTGGGCCGCATGACAGGCGGCAGCCCCGCAGCACCGCCGAAGCCGGCGCGCCCGCCCGGTGCAGCCGTCCTGCCGGGGAGACCCCGCGGCCCCAGTCTCGCGCGGCCCCGCTGGGCCCCTCCTCTCCCCGGGTAGGGCGCAGCTCCGCAGCCTCCGCCCGCGGCCTCGCCTGGCGCGTCCTTCCGGGTCCTCCGGCCTTTTCGTGCCGGTGCTGCAGGCCCTGGTCCCTTCCCACCCTGCACGCCGCTGTGCTCGGGCCTGGGTCTCCGGGCCGGCCGCCTCCGGCGCGACTTCCCTTGGCCTGAGTTTCCGGGCTGCTCTTGGCCTCTGCAGCCTTGCTGGAGGCCGCCCTGCGGCATCGGAGTGAACGAGGGAAACAGCAGCAGTCACGTAGGGGAAAAGCTGTTGAGGACGGTGCCGTGCGTTCCCGCAGCGCACGCGCTCGGTGCACTGCGGCGTCCCACGCGCGTGCCATGTAGAGGTCCCAAGTCGAAGGTTCACTTTTAAAACTGTAGCCGCCGGAAAGGCCTTGCCGGACTCCCGCTGACCGTCACCTTGAGTGGTCATATTTCCCAGAGAGGCACCCACCAAGGTAAAGACAGGCGGGCTCCAGCCTCAGGGTCCTCCCGGAACTTCGGTTTATAGTGGGGCCCAGTAAACACGTTAGTAACACCAAGAGCTGTAAAATACAGATGATGACTTAGCATCTTTGCCTTACTTATTTCTAGATATGGATCAGAAACTTTCAGACTTGGTAGAAGAGCTCACAACTTCAGGAGAACCCCGACTAAATCCTGAGAAAATGAAGGAACTGAAGAAAATTTGCAAGTATGTGTTAGGATTCAGTAATTCACAGTAACTGACTGGCCCACTGAGCCCAGTACACATAGGGCCCCTTGCCTGCCCCACCTGGGCGAGAACCACCCGAGGGACACACCCAGGACATTTTCTCAGGGCCCTGCAGTGCCCAGCTCTGACGGGCGGCCATCGTCCTAGGGTCAGGGCGTGTGGCGTTGGGAACACATCAGCGCTCTGCTGTTGCTTCTCTTCGTTCCCGTGTGCAGGGCGTAGAGAACATGATATAGGAGTTCTTGAGTGCACATACGTGATTTAGAAAGAAACGTTACGTCTTTTTCTTTGCTGTTGGACTTTGCAAAGGGAGAGACTAGAGCTCGCTGCTGGGCGAGTTGCTCTATCTGCATTTACACTGTGTCTGCCCACATCTCCCTCCAAGGAAAACGCTGGCCAGGATCTCTGCCGGTCACTCTGAGGCAACCAGAGAGTCACAGGGGAAGCAAAACTTCCCCTCGGAGGCCAGAGCATAAGTTGAGGGCACTGATTATCTTGTCTCCTGCGTTTGTAAAACGGGAACTTAAAGATTGTTTATAGTGATGGAGTGTTCATATTTTGATAGAAAACTTCAGGTCAGGTTTTGTAGCATGCCCCAGGAAATCCAAATCACAGTGGTTTATGTGGGGCCAGGATCTGGGAAGAGGAGCAGTCAGGAGGCGCTGGAGATATCTGAAGCACTAGGCCTTCCCTTCCTTGCTGCAGCAGGAGGCACCCAGCTGAGCAGTGCGTGTTTGTGCCGGGTGGTGTTCGTTCGTGCCAGGAGGTGTGTGTTTGCGCCTAGCGCTGTGTGTTCCTGCTGGGTGGTTTGCATTTCAGGCTTTGCTGTGAGGCCTCAGCTCTGTGAATGCAGCTGCAGTTGATGCAGGCAGATAGATGGGCCGCCTTCCAATGAAACTTTGTGAATGGGCTCTGCGTTTGAAGTCTGCAGCATTTTAACGTCTCATCAAGTATTTCTTGCTTGTTCCAACATTCTTGGCTTGTGGCCCACACAGAAACAGGCCAGGCTGGGGAGGTAGAGGTGGGCCTTGGGCAGTAGTTTGCAGACCTGCTCTAGAAAAGGGGAGAAGAAAGATGGGAAGGCAGTGATGTTCCCTGTCACACGTGTGTGGCATCCCTGCATGGAGAGCCTTCCTCGCCCGTCCTCCCTATGCCGGCGGTTGGGTCAGGCTGGCTCACATCCCCAGGTCTTCAGAGGAGCAGCTGAGCCGCACCTACCGCCTGCTGATAGCGCAGCTGTCCCAGGAGCACGCCGAGATCCGCCTCTCAGCCTTTCAGATTGTGGATGAGCTCTTCACCAGGTCTCACCAGTTCCGGGTGCTGCTTGTTTCCAACTTCCAGGAGTTCCTGGAGCTCACGCTGGGCACGGACCCTGCACAGCCTCTGCCGCCCCCCAGGGAGGCGGCGCAGAGGCTGAGGCAGGCAGCCACCCGGGCCGTGGAAGGGTGGAATGAGAAGTTCGGGGAGGCCTACAAGAAGCTTGCCTTGGGCTACCACTTCTTAAGACACAACAAAAAGGTAGGTGGATCTGGTCATTTTATTAGAGACTCTGGTTACCCAACGGGAGGAGGGCAGACCGGACAGAGGAGAAGATGTGCTTCCTGTCGGGCCTGGCGTGGCAGGGGCTTGCTTGGCCTTGCGTAGGCACCCAGGGTGCTGGACCATCCATGGGGTGTGGGAGAGTGGAAGCAGCTGGGGTCAGGGCTTCCCTGAGAAGGGTGGCACAGCTCTGAGAAGAAGAGCAGAGGCTTTATGTGTGGATGGCGCTGAGCCTGCATTTGTTATTTTTTATGCGTGTGTAGGAGACAAAAGCCAAATTCAGTTTTTCAGATGCAGCGTTTGCTATGACAGCGGCCTCTGGCCTCTGGGACCTTTCCCAACCTTGCACGTTAAGGGTCCACCCGGAACCCCTGTGGGCGCTGGCTGGTGCCTGGCATGACGAAACTGACCAGATTCTGCCGCTGTGGCCTGAACGCAGCCTGAACGTTGCCCAGACCCTGCCGTGTCCCCTGCCCCACCTGCCACAAAGGCTCATGTCCCCCCAGGGCGATGGCCCAGCCCTGCCAGCGTCCCTGTGTGCCCATGGAGTGCCCAGTCTCCCAGGTTCATGTTTGGCTTGTTTCAGGCCCCTGGGTCCAGTCAGTGGCTTTTGCCTGCTAATGGAACGGGCATGCTGCTCTCCACCTACGTGGCACTTGGGGTGAGAAGTCTCATTGCCTCTTTTAGTGCAGCAGATGTGCTGGCTTGCCCAGGCCCAGGCGGCAGAGCGGTGCGCATTTTACTTAGCTGTAATGCGCTGTGAATGGCTGGTGTGAGGTGCACACCTATAGACCTAGTGACTGCAGGCTGAGGCTGGGGGATCACCTGGTCCTGCCTCAGCAACACGGCGAGACCGCTGTCTCTTTAAAAAAAAAAAAAAAACTCACTGTGAACTTAAAACACCCTGTAGGCTGCTGGCCACACGTGAATGCTGGGTCTTCTGTTAGGCCTGCTTGAGTTTTCTTTTCCTCACATTGTTTATAGATAGCCCCAGTCCTTTTTTTTTTCCCCCCCGAGATGGAGTCTTGCTCTGTCACCCAGGCTGGAATGCGATGGTGCGATCTTGGCTCACTGCAACCTCTGCCTCCCAAGTTGAAGCTGTTCTCCTGTCTCAGTTTCCTGAGTAGCTGGGATTACAGACACGCACCACCACGTCTGGCTAATTTTTGTATTTTTAGTAGAGATGGAGTTTCACCATGTTGCTCAGGCTGGTCCCGAGCTCTTGACCTCGTGATCCTCCCGCCTCAGCCTCCAAAAATGCTGGGGATTACAGGCGTGAGCCACCGCACCCGGCCGGCCCTAGTCTTTAATTTCAATTACTCAGGTGGATTTTCAAGATGCAAGTGCTCGAACTCTGGCCGAAAGAAAGAGAGAAGAGGAGAAGCAGAAGCACTTGGATAAAATTTACCAGGAAAGAGCCAGCCAGGCAGAGAGAGAGATGCGAGGCAAGTGCCCGGGACAGAGGGAGGGGTCCGTATCCCTGGGGGCTGCCTATGGTCCAGCTGTTCGTCCTCCTGGACCCCGGGCCCCGGCTGCAGGGGACCCCGGTGTTCAGACAGGCTCGGTGGATATGGTTCAGTTCAGACCGGGGAGCATTCTCAGCCATAGACCCCGCTCTGTCCCCAGGACCCTGCAGGGACCTCCCAGGCCGGCCATGCCTCTCCCGCGCCCTCTGGTGGTCGCAATCACCCACGCCCATTCACTGCGCAGACCCTCGGGCAGAGATGGGCATGTGGGCAGTGGTCTGAGCCCTGGCCTGGCTGAAGGCCGTCCTGCTCATTTATCTCATGGCTGCCTTGCCCTTGCCAGCCCCTTCCCCAAAATCTCACCATTTACTTCATGACAGTCAGCCTTTCTTGTGAGGGACACCACCGGAGTGTGAGGAATGTGGGGCAGGCCCACATGCCACGGCCTTCCTGAGGCGGCTCCTGATGTGGGTGGAGACACAGCCCTGTGTCTTCAGACTGCAGGGCTGGGGGCTCTCCCTGTGCCTCAGATCCTCCCACCGACAGACCGTGGTCCCCCGCGTGGGCCCTGCCACAGGCCACTTCTGGGAAACGCAGGCCTCGGGCCCATAAGGCAGGCAGGCAGGCAGCTGGGTGCCCGGATGACGAGGAGGCCACCAGGAGGAAAGCTGCCCTGGCCTAGGAGGTGTGGCACGAACAAGGGCATTTTGTTGCTCTGGAAAGGAGCTGCAGCCTGGTCCTGGAAAGTGCAGGGGGGCTGACAACCCCCGAGCACTTGTGCGCACTACCCAGAGGCGCGTAGAGATTGTCTTGCAGGCCCAGCGGCTGAGCTGGTGCTTTCAAAAGCAGTTACAAAGCTCACTACACGGCCAGGCACAGCGACTCACCTGTCATCCCAGCACTTCGGGAGGCCAGGGTGGTTGGATCGCTTGAGTCCCGGCGTTTGAAGCCAGCCTGGGCAACCCCGTCTCTACAGAAAAATTAGCTGAACATAGTAGCACATGCTTGTGGTCCCAGCTAATCAGGAGGCTGAGGCAGGAGGACCACCTGAGCCTGGGAGTTCCAGGCTGTGGCGAGCTCTGATTGTGCCACCGCATTCCAGTGCAGGCAACAGTGCCACCCTACTTCAAAAAACAAAGAAAAACGTGTGGTACACACATTAGAGGCCTGGCTTTTGTTGGGGAGAAAGGAGGCCCCGGGGGATGCAGGCTGGGTGCAGGACCCTGACCCACCTGGTGCTGAAAAGTGACGCCCTTCGGGGAGTGAGCCTCTGGGTGTGGTTTTGCGGGGCTAGTGTTTTTGCTGCATATGGCGCAGGAGACAGGTGTCCTGATCTTTTGGCAGAAATGTCTGGAGAAATGGAATCCTGCTTGACAGAGGTGCAGAGCTGCTTTAGGCTCCTGGTACCGTTTGGCTTTGACTTTGGCCCGAGCCTGGAGACAGAATCCCTTGGCATGGCTCCTGATGCGTCCGATGCCCCCCGCTCCTCCTGCGCCAGCCAGGTGGGCCCTTGCCGGTCTGGCTCCCCTGACCCCTGGGACGGGGAGCAGCCCTGCTGCAGTAGGGACCTCCCTGCCTCTGCAGGCCAACCTGGAGCAGGCGGCGGGGCACTGCTGCCCCAGGCAGCTGTGGGAGACCCCTCAGATGAGGACGAGGACAGCGACCTCGAGGAGTTTGTGCGGAGCCACGGGCTGGGCTCACACAAGTACACGCTGGATGTGGAGCTCTGCTCAGGTAACGGCCTGCCTGGCTCCTGGCTTAGTCCCTCCCTCAGTGGCACCCAGCCCAGCAGCTCTGGACTGCAGGAGGGTCCCCTGGGGACCGAGTCAGGGGTCACCACTAGGATTTTACTTTCTGTGTGGCCTCCGCATTGGGCTCCCCCCACCCATGCCAGGCCTCTGTGGCCACAGGGACACTTCTAAGAGTTCATGGCAGCCCCCCGCCTTGGCAAGGCTGTGGGCAGATCGGGGACTCACAGGTTTATGGTGGTCCTCAAAGGATGGCAGAGCACAGGTCTGACCTCCAAGTGACCAGGAGCCTTGGGCAGGCTTTGTGGGCATCCTGCCAACTCACAGGCCTGTTAGGGTCCTATGTCACCATGAGGGGTCAGGTAGTGCCTGCCTTTGCCTGGAGGAAAATGTGATCCTGAAATGGCCACACGCAGCCTTGGTGCTCCAGCCTGGGTGGGTTAGGGTTGTGGAGACACGGCTGCCACACCCCTTGGCGCCAGCTTCCTCCCAGGCCCCGGGCTCCCCTCCTGGGGTGGGCAGAGGCTGAGGCCCTTTGAGTATGTGTGTGGCTGCAAATCGCTCTCTTCGAAGAACCTTCTTTGGAAGCAGGCACAGTGGGCGTCCCTTCACCAGGCCCGGAGGCAGCCAGGCCGGCAAGCTGCTGGGAGAACTCATCTTCCAGGCTCAGCTGCCCAGAAGTGTCTCAGGAGTGAGGCCGCAGGCAGCCTGCAGGCCTGTGTGGGGTGGACACCGCTGCTGCCAGTCCCCGGGCACCCTTGCCTACACAGAGCTCGGCCCTGTACCGGACACTGAGGGTGCCACAGTGGGAGAAGCCACAGCAGGGCAGAGTCGGAGCTGGGGTGCCCGACAGAAGAGAGGCCAGGCTGGGGGGGTGCTGATGACGCTGGGATGGACACCATCCTGTGAGGTGGGCTGCAGAGGGGAAGGTTCTGTGCCCAGTGTGTGGGTGAGCTCGCCCCTCTGGAGGGATGGCTGCAGTGGAGGAGGTTGAGACACAGGCGGTGGAGCTGGAGTGAGGGGAGGCTTTGGTGTAAGCCACATGTTCTTTCCTAACATCATAAAACATTGACTTCTCACAGCATCAGATTTGGGATCCCCGGAAACAGGGAGGGCATCTGGCAGGTTCCCCGCAGGCTCGAGCAGCCTTTGCCGCGTGCTCTGTCCGTCTCGCTGGGGTCTGTGGGAGACACCCGCTGGCGCTCTCAGGTGGCTTCTGTGTGTTTCTCCCCAGAGGGCCTGAAGGTGCAGGAGAATGAGGACAACCTCGCTGTGGTCCATGCCGCCCGTGACACACTCAAGCTCATCCGGAATAAGTTCCTGCCGGCCGTTTGCTCCTGGATCCAGGTGAGCCTTGAACCTGGGACCTGTGGGTTGATAGACATGTGCAGTATTGGGCTCGAGGGGTCTCTTTCGTGGAGGGACTGTGGCCAGGGGGGATGGAGACTGAAGGGCCCCTGACCCGTGAGGGCTCTGTCCCTTACTTGCAGCTTCGTCCTCTGCATCCCGCGTATGTCAGGGACTCCCCCAGGCCAGTGGACCTGGCACTTGCTTCCCAGCGGGATGGCTCCCTAGGGCCTGCCAACTGGCCTCTGAGCCCTCCACCCCCTTGTTTCATACAGCGCTTTGCTCGCGTGGGGACCCACGGTGGATGTTTAAAACACGCCATTAACCTGAAGGCAGAACTGGAGCTTGCCCTGAGGAAATACAAGGAGCTGGACATCGAACCCGAGGGAGGGCGGAGCTGCAGGGTGAGTGGGTGGGGAGGGGTCCCAGGTGCCTCAGTGGGGGAGGAGAAGCTGTGGGGACCATGTCCTGGGCCTGTGGGCCTGGCAGAGCCCAACCACACACCAAGCCCACTCGGCCTCAGCAACACCTGCCTTCCTGGCAAGGGCTTCCTGTGAGCCCAGCGTCATTGTTGTGGTGGCAGAGGGTACGGTGCAGCTGTCAGTGCTGTCTGGCCGCCATGCGTGGTAGCTGAACGGAGGTGCTGAGCACCACGCATAGAGGAGGCTATAGGAAGCCACCAGTCAGGCCATCTCCCACAACCTAGTCCCCCCACAGCTCCTAGGGAGTCGCCAGCCATGTGACGCCTGTCCTGGTGGGCACTGTATCCACTAGAGGAGAGACCCCTGGCAAGCTCTCGGATGGCCAGGAGGGTCAGTGTGGGCACCGGTGCCCACCTGGAGTACTCGGGCCACCGTTTGCTGGGCTCTGTAAGAGGCTTGGAAGGGTCGTGGGGGGCACTGCAGTTTGCTGAGCAGGCAGCATGGGGCTAGAAGGGGGCAGGAACACCAGGAGGGGCAGGAGGCTGGAGGGAGGTATGGGGCGCCTCCGGCAGAGTGACATGGGGAACTGAGACCGCTGCACTGGGCGTGTCTGAGCCGGTCAAGGGTGGGGTGCCCTGCACACTGCTGTGCCAGGGCCTTGAGGAGCTGCCTGAGCGTGGAGTGGCCTGGAGGGGTGTGAGAGCCGGGGTCCTCTGCAGCGTCCTCAGCGGAGCCCAGCGCAGTCGGGTCTTGGGACTGGAGGCACACAGCAGCCACCCTGGGCTCGCACAGCAGCAGTGCTGTCTCTCAGGCGCCTCTCCCTCAGGGAACCCAAGCCCTGAACCCTGACACCCTGGAGCCCGGACCCTGAACCCAGCCCTGGTCTGGGAGATGGTGGCCTTTCAGCTCTCCTCACTTTTAGGAAAGCTTTGGAGTGGAAGTGAATGGTGTGCTTTTTACTGGGAAGAGGTCGGATTCCACGGTGGCAGACATGCGGGGGCCGTGGGAGTTGGGGGGCAGTGGGGAAGCTCCTCTCCGTGAATTTCCCAGCCTGTCGTTTTCCCCAGGTCAGTGGCCCTGCATCCTGGATGTGGTGGGCGTGTGCAGCCCCCGGGGGCCAGCAGAGGGCGAGCTTGCTTTTCTTCTTTAAGCCCTGAAATTCTGACTCCGGGAGAATTTATAGTCATGTGGGAGCCCCGTGCCTGGCAGAGTCGCTGGCCCCTCAGAGGCCCGGCTGCTCATGTGGCCGCGTTTGTGGGTGCTGTTCAACACCTCTCTCCATGAGGAAGTACTTTTGGGAGTTTTGATGAAAAGATACTTTCTACAATGAGAAGGGATGCTTTTCTAGGTTTGGGAGGGAGATGGTGAGTGCCATCAGCACATAGGGATCAGGGTGAGCCCACTGCCCACGCCCATCACGCTCAGGCCACAGGGTTGCAGCCACAGGACCAGGCCCTGCACCGGCCCCTGTCACCATTCCCGAATGGGCCTTGTGGAGGCCGCCCACTGGGGTCATGGGGCACTTCCTGAGGCTCACACTGAGCTCCTCTCAAGGTCACTGCCCCATCTCCACTGCATGGGAAAGGCTTGCTTGAGCCTCACACTGAGACCCTGAGCCAGGCACTGCCCCCGTGCCACTGCTGCCACCCTGGACTCGCCTGGCCTGGCTCCTGCAGTCTGTGGATAGTTTTGTCTGAAGGTGGCCAGTGGGCAGCTGGCTTATTGGGTCCACAGAGCAAAGGGGCGGCCGATGGGTTGCGTGGTCTGGGCCCCTCCAGCTGGCACCGTCCTTTTAGTACCAGCAGCGGGGCTGGGGCAGCCAGGTGGCTCTGTTTGGCCTGAGGCTCTGGCATCAGAACCTTCTGGAATGCTTGGTGCTGCCCCTGTCTGCATCCCACAGCTCCACAGCATCTGGGATGGCCCCTGAGCGGGGCTGGCTGGTAGAAGTGAGTCCAGGGCTGCTGCAGCTCGGCCTGCTTGTGTGGGGATGAGGAACTGCCGCTTCCCGGGTCAGGACTCTTTAATGCCACTGCGGACCAGAGACACCTGCAGACTCCTGGCCGTGGCTGACTGGCACCCACAGTTCCACCTCACCCTGGTGGATGTAGACTCCTGTGTGCCAGGGAGACCAGGTGCCCTTCCGTGAGTGTCTGGCTCAGCCTGGCCCCTGGCCTGTGTGAGCTCAGGAGCGCTGGCTTCCCAGACCACTGCAGTGCCAGCCTCTCCTGCCACAGAGCTGCTCAGGGGTGCTGTGTTAAGGGCCTGGTCAGTGGTGGCCAGGGCCTGCAAGACAGGTGTGGGCCGTGCAGGGGGGTGCTAGGCAGGGCACAGCCCCCTGTGGGACCCCACCTGCTGCTGCTCCCACCCACCAGGTCCTGGAGACCCCACTGATGCCGTCAGCTGTCTCTGAGCTTCTCAGTGACTGACATGAACGTCTCCCACCCCACATGGTTGAGCCGTCAGCACTGCCCTCCGCGGCCCGTGATCCCAGCCCTCAGCACACAGGCAGCCACCCTGACCTAGCGCCCAGGGCCTGCTACTATCTCACTGTCCTTCCTCACTCCTGCTGGTCAGGGGCCTGCTCCTGACTCATCTGTGTGCGTCCTCTCGAGATCTGAGCGGTGGCACTCGGCGGGGGGCGTCTTCGGTCAGGACTGACGCACTCGGAGGGCAGCTCTGGGTACTGGTGCAGGGCCCTTCTCCTCCTTCGGCCACATGGTCTGGCCAGCAGACGTGCCCCAGCCATGCTTCAGGGCTGGTGAATGTGCGAGGGCATCTGGCCCTGTGAGGCTGGGTTGAGGATGTCACAGCTCTGGGGGGAAGTGAGGCGCCACGCTGCTCCTTTGTCAGTTGAATGGACACTTTCCAGACCCTTCTCTGCAAAGTGTTTTTTTTAAAGCGCTGCTCTGAAGCCCTTGGAGATTTTGCTCGCGGCAGCTGGAGTGCGAGGAGCTGCCTGGAGATGAAGTGATTGGCGAGCTCGCCTGGCTCAGGTGAGCGATGCTTCCCGGAATAGACGCGGTGCCGCTGCAGTATCTGCCCATCTTTCCCGGCTCCTCTCAGGCCACGGCCGTCCGAGTGGCGTGTGTGCGGCAGGTGGGGCTGGCTGTCGGACGTGGATGTTAATTAGAGCTGTTTTAATTAGAAATTATGAATGAGGTGTTCCTCGTTAATTTTGAATAAAATTTACAGAGGGTTTAAATCACTTCCCTCAGTGTCTCCCCATTTAGCACAGGATTGGCGTCGTTAACTCCGTGTGTAGAACAGGCCACGCTAATTCAATCATGCCTGATTTAAATATTTTTAGAACTTTCAACAAACGTGCAGGAGACGGGAACACGGAACGCTGCTAGCTGCGGGCAGGAGGCAGGAGCCCAGACCAGGGAGGCCCAGCCTGTCCTGTGGCGGCTCCGGCCGGTGCTCGTGCTGAGGTTCTCCTCTCGCAGTCACTGGGAGCAGACGCTGTGTCTTTCCTTTTTAGCGTTTCCCACTTGGTTTCTAGGTAACGCTGTTTTCCTTTCGACACAGATGTTCTGTCTTCAGAAAATACTTAGGCTGATTTCGATATGTGTAGCTGTGCGTTCGGAGTGCCTCTGTGTGGCTTCCCTCGGGGAGCAGGCTGGGGGTGAATTTCCCTGGATGGATGTGCAGCGCCATTTGGTAGATTTAGTGTCCAGTCTTGCCGCGCTGTAGGGCAGGTGTGCTAATCCATGCTGCGTCATTCACTGAGCTAATTGAAATCCTCTGGAAACTTTCACGTTGCTTGCTGCCAAGTTATATAGCTCAGATCACCAATTACTTTGTATTTTGTAATTAACAAAATATTAATTTCCTACCAGCCAGTGAGTTGGAAAAGCGTCTTAAGCATCAGTCTCTTTGGTACCGTCAGCATGGTTTTCTCCTTCCTTTTTCTGGTTATTGGGTTGTTTGTTTACGTGGCTGAGAGATCTGTGTGGGTGTTTGTTTTTGTTCTCGCTGATGTTGAGCCTGATGTGGCAGCCACATGGCTTCACCTGTGGACGCGTCCTCCATTGCTCACATAACCCAAATAGTCACAACTCCGTGGTTTTCTTTCTTTGTTGGCCACCTGCCTGCCTCCTCCAGCGGGCTCACCACCAAAGCTCTGATCTTTGGAGTTGGATGCCAGAAGCATTCTCCTGCTGTCCGATGTTCAGCGGGCTGGGATGGAGCCGATAGGCTCTTGGGGACCCTGTCAGCCCCTGAAATCGAGGCCCCACCTCTCTTCCCTGCTGTGCATGAGGGAAAGTTCTCTGTGATGCTCTGGAGCCACGGGAGTCTGACTTCCTGGAGGTGAAAAGGACAGAAACTGAAAACCCAGGAATGAAATGTGGACCTACCAGGCACAGGCAGGGGAGGAGGGACCTAAATCAGCGCCGTCGGAAAGCCTTGTGCCGCAGTAGGGACGGTAAACAACCTTCCTGGGTGATGGGCCCCTCCATCACGCCGAAGGCCACACCGCTGCGTCCCCGAGGGCTGCCCGCTGCGGGGGAGCAGACACACCGGTTCTCTGGAGTTAGCGCGGGGAGCACTGGGAGAACATCTCAGGCCCAGCCAGGGCCTTGTGCCAGCCCGTCCTCCCACGCTGGTGGCAAAGGCCCCATCTCGGGCTTTTACCGTCTCCCAGTACCTGTCTGCAAACAGAGGGCACTTCCCAGACAAGCCTGGCGCTCCCTGAAATACCTCCCACGCCATGATCCCTTTCGTTTGGAAACAACCCTGATTTTCCACCTCATTTCACAGAGAAGCTGAGCCTGGTCCCAGTCTCCTTGTTGAGGCCTGGCCGCCTGATGAGCGTGGATGTGCCTGACGGCTGCCTGATGAACAGGCTAGCCCACTTCCTGGAGGCTGGCCTTCTGGCCCCTGTGGGCCCTGGGTGCCCTCCCCCTCTCTGAAAAGGTCGGTGGGCAGGGGTCCCTTCCCACACCTGTGAGGCAAGTGTGTGTGAATCACAGGAGCCCTGG